TTACTGCTGACCGTCGATCAAAGGCTTTATTCATTCGATCACGTCAATATAATCTAATAACGGCAACAGGGGAATTATTTTGTCGCACCGATTCACTTAAAAGGTGTATTTGCAGTCCTCCCGTTTGAAAAAAAAAAAAAAAAAAAAAAAGATTATTTCTATCATCACCATCATCATTATCATCATCATCAACATTTTCCCGTCCTGGGTATGACGATAAAATACATCCGCGTCCTGGGTAAAACGATAAACTAATTCCAACAGCAAGGCCTCTGATCAGGAGGTTTTGAGGAGCGTGGAACCACCTCTTAATTGCTGGTGTTCCCTGATCCACCCTGACCTGGGGTGGTAGCACCTGTTAGGGTAACAGCTATCAGTAAATAGTTAACCCCAAAACAGGGGTCAAAACACTATGAAAGTGTAAAAATAGGTCTTAATACCAGAAATACTTTCTAAAAAAAATGTTACCAGCAATAAATATTTTGAAGAAAATGTATTACCAGCAATACTTTTTTGAAAAAAAATATTACCAGCTATATATTTTTGGAAAAATATGTTACCAGAAATAGATTTTTTGAAGGAAAAATATTAATAGCAGCACATGTTTGAAAAAAAAATATTACCAACAATAAAAATTTTGTTGGCATTAAATAACCCATTGCGGTTGATAGTGATTTTCCAAGCCCAGCTTAGAAATTATGAGGATGGAACTCACTACTCAGTCGTAATTGATCTAGCAAAACAAGCTTTCTAACAATTACACCACGTCAAGGTGCCCACCCATTGTGGTTAATATGCCGTAAAACAAACCAAACGAAACCAAACGATCATTTTCATCGGAGCTGATGCAAGAGTCTCATCAATCCTCCCACCTAACAACTTCAGAAAGCGTATGCTGGATTCTGCCCAAGCAGATTACATTATATAGATGTTACAGCAAGGAGGGCCGCTTCAAAAGTCTCGTGCTCCCCACCCGAATCTATGACACACACACTACATCTTAATTTTCATAAGGTAGTATTCATATAAAATGCATATTTTAACGTAACCTAATTATGTACAATAATGTATCATATGCAATGTAGGTAAATAATTCAACTAGAAAGAAGTTAAATAAATACAACGTATTTAAATACAAATTAGAGACGTGTCATAACAGAGCTACAATGTTTTGCGTCACTTAACATCAACTTGAGAGTTTTCTTCTTAAAAAGTTTGTGAGAATTTTAACATTATAAATGGAAAAAAAATATTGACTTTTATATAGTACTAGCAGTAGAGCCCGGCGTTGCCCGGAGATGTAACAGTAAGAGATAGATCAAGTATCGACCATCATAAAGACTGAAAAATAAAATTGACAAAGATTATTGTTTAAGGTTGACGGACACGCATGTCTTAATTAGTTTTTTTTTCTTTTTTTTTTACGAATTGGTCAAACCCAAACTTAAACAAAAACATTGTTTTCAATCGTTATGAGTCTACCGATTGGATAGAATTTTATCATAAACAATTGTCTTGTAAATGGAATTTTTAAAGCATGTAAAAATAAAGAAAAAAGTGTGCAAGACAATAAGAAACACTACCTGCCAAAAAAAGTGAAGTTTTGTTGAAATCGGTTGAAAAATGTAGGAAATCCGATTCCATATATAAACGAACACACACACACAAACAACCTGGGTTTATAATAAGTATAACTCGATATGAGTTGTCCCCCTTTCATTCTCATGATGCCTCTTAATCGTGTTTTCAAATTGATTTCGTGCAAAAACAATTGTGTTTTTCCAATATTTGGCGCTGTTAGAACCACCCCAAGGTAATTTTACGTAGTCCTGTGAAGTTTGGTTGAAATCGGTTGAAAAATGTGGGAAATCCGATCCAATATATAAACCTACAGACACACACACACAATCTGCGTTTTATAATAAGTAAGATTTTTTTCCGAGATATAGAATGAGCAAAACAAATTGACGGATTTTGGTAAAAAAAAAATGACCCCAGATTAACGTCAAAATCTGCGTAAATTTGTCATCCTTTAATGTCCAGTTGTCCTTCGTTTAATTTGTAACGTATATAAATAGAGGGAGAAAAAAAGTTTCAGGCTAGTCTGTTGGGCTTACTCTCGTACAAATCACCTTAGGGAAAGCATGAATCCATCTTTTCTAATCCCTCCCCCACTACCTGTTAGAGGTTAACCATCAGGATAGACTAAAGTTGGGTGTGAACAAGCAAACTCTGAAAACGTGGGGAAAGCAACGAGAAACTACTTCGCTATCTTTCCCAAGAAAGTATGACAATTCACATATAATAGAGAAAAGGATACTGTGGAGAGACATGACCGCTTATTTCATTAAGGGACATGCGATGTTTTTGTTTTTTTTTTAATTCACTGCGTATGCTTATGTATGTGAATGCGTACCTATGTATATGTGAATATGTGTGTATATATGAGTGCACGTGTGAATAGTTTGGAGGAAAGTAGAAACAAAAAAAAGTACTGAATTGTTACGTGATATCTGGTCGCCTATACGACTGCTGGAAAATCTCCTCACAGATGAAGAAGCAACTTGAAGCAACAGAAATGCGGTTCAATACGAAAATCCTGAGAATACCATGGAACGAACATGTGAGCAATGATGAAGTTTTACAGAAAATAGAAATAAAAGGGACATTTATACTTAGCATCAGAAAGAGAGAAGTGACATTTCTAGGACACATCATGAGGAAAGTGTTGTAGAGTAAACGAAAAAATTTTCTTTTCCCGTGTGAATTACGAATCCCTCGTCGCCAATGTTGTAGTTAGGCGTACGAAAAGTTTGTTTCTTTCTTTCCTCCGTGTAAGTTTCGAGTCACTCGTCACCAATGTTGTAGAGTAGTTTTCACAGTGGAGGCTTGTATTTCAATAAGTCGTCCTAAATTAGGTGCGACGTACAAAACGTTAGGAACTTAAAATAATAGTTAATGACGCAGCAATCTAGTTGTGATGGTTGGTACTTCAATGTCCGATATCGACTGACGCGCTCAACACCACTGAGCCGAACGGGCGACCGCTACTACTACTTATTATGTGTGGGAGAGTCTATTAATAATAGAATAGGTACGTCAGGTATAACAGAAAGAGAGCTTGGAAAATTTGATACTCACAGGTCGGATTGAAGTCCAGATGGATAGAGGGAAGACAACGCGTAACCTATCTGGTGAGCCTGTGTGGATGGTGATCAGGGTTTAGGAGAGAAAACAAAAAGTCAAAATTTATTAAGAGCTACAAAAGACAGGAAATTTTGGAGTCATGATCATCCATATAAAAGAAGAAGATATATAAGGTCATAAGGTGACAATGGAAAATCTTAGGGCACATGATGAGGAAAGAGGGCTTGGGAAACTTGATACTCGCATGACATACTGTAGGCAAGAGGGGTAAAGGAAAACAATAGATAATATATTTAGCAAGCCTGAGTAAATGGATAGCGGAACAAATTTTAAGAGATAACAAAAAGTCAGAATGTATTAAGAGCTACAAGCAACAGGAAATTGTGGAGAGCTATGATCGCCAACTCTGTGAATGGCCACTGCATATAGAAGAAGAAGAAGAAGAAGAAGAAGAATTTGATTTCATCAGAACGACTTTTAGTACGCATTAATATGACAATATAATTACATTCATGTGTCTGGATATGCATATCTCTATTCTACTTTGTAAGGGGCGTAAAGCAAGGATGCGTCTTCTCGCCCGACCTGTTCAACCTATACAACGAGACAATTCTGAGAGAAAGAAAAGAGAAAAGGATTTAGCATGGGCGACCACAATCTTAACAAAATAAAATACGCAGATGACACAGTACTGATAGCAAACACGGAAAAGAAATTACACAATCTCCTACAGAAGGTAGCGACGGAAAGTGAGAAGAAATGGCTAAGCATAAACTACAAGAAGACAGAATGCATGGTCATCAGTAAAAGGATGAGCTCGAAATGCGATTTACAGAACATTAGAATCAAGCAGACACGGAAGTTTAAGCGTCTTGACAGAGGATGGTAAGTGCGACACTGAGATCCGGAGACGTATTGGGATGGCCAACGACACATTTCAAAAGCTGGGAGACAGGAAGATTTCTTAAAAATAATAGATAAATAGATAATAGATTAAAAACACTTTATAATAATAATGTCCTTTAATAGGACATGGCACATAAAAAGAAAATAAATGCTTTGGAGAATGATGTTTCAAAAAAAAAAAGATGGCGTGGAAGTGTATTGCGAATCAGGAGGATTTCTTAGGTAACAAAGAAAAGTATACTGAGCATCTGTTCTTCTTTACGGCAGCGAATGTTGGACGATTTCCTCAAAGATGAAGACGAGACTCGAAGCGACGGAGATGTGGTTCTACAGAAGGATGCTAAGGATATCATAGACCGAGCATTTGAGAAACGATGACGTCTTAGAGAGGTTGCAAACAAGGAGAAGGCTTATAATTAACATCAGAAAGAGGCAGCTAAAGTTTTGGGGACGCATAATGAGGAAGGAGGGTTTGGAGAATCTGATACTCACGGGTCAAATAGAGGGAAAGAGAGACAAGGGAAATCAGCGCGTGACATACCTGACGAGCTTAAACAGGTGGATGTCAGAACGTGGTCTGGAGGAGGAAGCAGAGAGAAGGAACCTGTTGAGAGCTGCAAAGGATAAAGGGAGATGGAGAGCCGTGATCGTCTACGTCCTGAAAGGACACGTCACATTAAAAGAAAAGAAATGCTTTGGAGAGTGATGTTTCAGAAAAAAAGATGGCGTGGATTGGCATATAAGTGATAATAGAATACAAAACGTGTCTTCGATCGAACTCCGGACAGGATTAACAATGAATGAACAAACGCCACTCAACCCAAACCTATTTTTTTAATCGTAACGAAGCCCCCACTTGTAACAAAGACGATTAACATCGCGAATTCTTCTCCTGCTATTCAAATGACTATCTCTACCCTTTGCTTGCATTAAGAGTCACTACTCCCATGACACCGCGATTAGATTATACGGCTCGAGCCCATCGTGTTTCCGGGCTACTCAATATTTTACCAGGTATTATAGCCTGTCGAATCCACCCCATCCACGGGGTTTTATGGTTGGGTAGCCCTATTTCTCATCTGCTCAACCCCTCACTTCCCTTCTTAGCGGTGTCGTATGGTCCACTGCCGCCATGACTGTCGGTAGGCCAGTTCGCCCATAAACCTGCCGCTGTTCCGTGAAGCAAACGTTCTCTCACGTAATCTCTCTTTTACTCTCTCTATGACATCTTTTTACTCTCTTTGTTCCTCTGTTGTTGTTTTTTTTTTCTCTTTTGTCTTCCTTACAGTTTTATTTCTTTATTTTCTCTTTTCCTTCCCGCCTTTTATTCCAATAATAATTTTTATTGTCTCTCTCTCCCCTCTCTCTTTCCCTCTCCCCTCTCTCTTTCCCTCTCCCCTCTCTCTTCCCCTCTCCCCTCTCTCTTTCCCTCTTTCTCTCCCTCTATCTCTCTCACCCCCCTCTCTCTCTCTCACCCTCTCTCTCTCTCTCTCTCTCTCTCTCTTACGAGTTAATTCTTAATAAATTCTTCGTTTTTTATATCCTTCTTGTCTTTCTTTTATTCGTTCAACGTTTTCTTTCAGTTTTTCTTTCTTCCGTTCTGGTGTTTGTTTTTATTTCTTTTCTTCTGTAAATCTGGTCATTTTTCTTTCTCTTCCATTTTTTTTTTTTTTTTTTTTGTCCAAATCTAGACAAATTATAAAGTATACTCTTCAAAACGGTAAAGGTCTACTTGCCTAGAAAATTAGTATCCAAGTCCTTGCATTTTAATTGGGATCGATCTCAGTGGGGAAAAAATGTAACAAAATTGCAATCCTCAATATTTATTAAGTTTATCTCAACCCGGAACAAGAGTTAGAAAATTAGAAAGATTGTGTTGTGGTCATGTTTTTCAAGTTTTGAGAGCTCGTAACCCTGACTATAAATGCTGAAATGTTGGGTTTTATCTGGGTCTTTCATGACAGGGAATTTTTGCCGTTCAATTGGAGCAGTTTAATCTTAAAGTCGAAACTCAACATCAGTAAAACCATTTGGGTGCAATTGAGGCACATCCCCAAATGGAGAGGTAACAATTTCAATGGAGTGGGTGGCCCGGAAAAGTGCCATTTTTGCATTCTCAATCTTGCAAATAAGGAAACTCTTCCATGGAACGTCATAATAATAATATACGATAATTTTTATTTTTAATATATTTTTTTTTTTTATAATTCAAATAATCTTTTGCGTTAGATTTCAACTCTCTAAACTGATTGTACGCTGTTTTTTACAGACATTAAATTTTGCCTTTGATTTTTTGCGCAGAGTGTAAAAAATCAGTGTTTTTCGATTTTCACTTTCAAGGTTGTCATTTTTTTTCCAGAGAATATGGACCCTAAACAGGCATTGAAGAATTATCTATCCAACAAAAAAAAAACATCGAAATCTGATGAAAAATGCGGAAACGCATAAACAACATGCATACACACACACACACATTTTGAGAATTATAGATATAGAGATTGGACTGTGGAATTGCTGAGTATATATATATATATATATATATATATATATATATATATTTCGAGCATGGCGCAAGCTAAATTTCTTAACGAGTGCGGTCATTTTCAAAGAAATGAATTGCTCGTTCTTCTTCTTGAGGTCTCCGCCAGATTAAAACACCCAAGACACGCCACCTGATGAGCACACCAAGTAAACATTCGTGGAGACACAATCTCCGGTACCCGACCTCGACAGGTGGAAGAAAAAGGTGGGGTTAGAAGAAGAAGAAGAAGAAGAAGAAGAAGAGCTAATTCTTTCAGAATCGTTTCGCTTGAATAAATTGTCTAGCACGGCTCAGTGCATCAACTTATCTGTTTGTGAATTTTCCGCGCCAGTTCGATAGTTTCGAAGAACGGTGATACTCGCTAAAAGACTTCATTCTCTCGAAGCCATTTCTAATCATTGATTTGAGAAAGTGGTTGCATACAATTTAAATATTTCTGAACGAGTTTGTTGCCACGCCTGACATCCAAATAGAATTTTTTTATCTGACGATGCTATTAAAAATATGATTCTAATTTTTACGCTACTGTTTTGGCTTTATATCAACTTTCGGTGTTGTAGGAAACTGGTGCAGTATATTCTAGATTCAATTTTCTCATTTCTTACATTAAATAACGATCCATACAACGAGGTATTTGAAGTGTTTACTATAGTGAATATATAACAGAACGGAGATTTTCTAGGCGTAGCTTAGATATAGCAGAGAGATTTGGTGAGAATCGAACACACTACACAGTCATAATTAATCTAACGTGACAAGCATGCTAACCATTAAACCACGTCGAAGTAGCCGTTAATGGTTTTCTACTGAGATCAAAAACGTATTGCGATGACCAAAGATGCTTTCCAAAAAGCTAAGTAGAGTATTAAGAGATAGGAACAATTCGTTAGAAACAAAGAAAAGAGTATTGAAATGTGACTTAATATCTATCCTCCTGCGAATGCTGGGCAATGTCTTCAAAGATGAAGAAGAGACTTGAAGCAAGAGGAATTTGGTTTTCTAGAAAGACGCTGAGAACACCATGGTCCAAACGTGTGAGCAACGACGAAGTTTCAGAGAAAATGGAAACAAAAACGAAACTTATACTTAGCATTAGGAAGAGACAGTTGAAATTGGGGCACATAATGAGGAAAGATGGTTTGGAAATTTTGATACTCACAGGGCAGATTGAATGAAAAAGGCACATAGGAAAACAACACATAACCTAGCTAGTGAATAGATGCCGGGACATGATTTAGGGGAGATAACAAGAAGACAATATTTATTAAGAGCTGAAAACGACAGGAAATTGTGGAGAGCCATCATCGCTAACGTCCTAAAGGGGAACGACACAAAGAAGAAGAAGAAGAAGAGACTTGAAGGAACAGAAATGTGGTTCTACCGAAACATGCTGAGGAAATTGTGGAGAGCCATCATCGCCAACGTCCTAAAGGGGCACGGCACATAAATGATGAAAAAGAACCGATAAAAATGTTAATGAACTCGGCTGTGTTTAAGAAGAGACATGAAGCAACAGAAATTTGGTTCTACAGAAGGATGCTGAGGATACCATGGACTCAACATGTGAGCAACGACGACCTTTTGGACAAAATGGAAACACAAAAAGAAACTCATACTTAACATCACAAAGAGGCAGTTGACATTTCTACGGCACGTAATGAGGGAAGACGGCTTGGAAAACCTGATACTCACAGGACTGATTGAAGGCAAGATGGACAGAGGAAACCAGCGCCTAACATACTTGATTGGCTTCAGTCAGTGGATGTTAGTGCAATATTTGGGAGAAATAACAAAAAGGCAAAATCTATTAAGAGCAACAAGCGACAGGAAGATGTGGAGTGCCATGATCACCTACGTCCGGAAGGAAGACGGTAGATAAAAGAAGAAAAAGAAGCATAGCTTAGATGTGCCACAAGGCTGAAAATATGGGCCACCCAGTGAGGATCGAACACACTATTCAGTCGATCTAGCGGCAAAGGCTTGCTAACCATTACCACACGTCGAAGAGTCCGTTAATGTTTTTTTTAATGTAGCTTATATGTACCACAAGTTCGAAAGTATGAGGCACCCAGTGAGGATTAAACTCGCTATTTAGTCGGTACAAGCATGCTAACCATTACCCCACATTGAAATTCCCATTAATAGTTTCGATATGGTATCCAGCCGGAAGTATGAGGCAGCCATTGAGTATGGGACTTACTATTCTGTTGTAATTGATCTAACGAGACATGTTTGTTAATCATTACTCTTACTTAAGTTAGATGTGGCACATGGCCGAATGTATGCGACACCCGGTGAGGATGGAACTCAGTCGTAATTGATCTAGCGAGACAAGCTTGTTAAGCATTACTCCACGTCGAAGTGCCAATATATAAGCGTATAAAATGCAATCGCGCTTAAATTTTTGAACAACAAAACTGGAAAGTAAAAAAGGAAATGATTTATGACTCAACTTATTAAAAGCGAGAAAATTGACTTCCCTGGATGATGAAGAATAGGAAACGTTGCCTTGCTCAAAGGAAGGATGCGTTTTACTTTTATAAGATTAGTGTGCGTCAGGGTGAGAAGAGAGCATGTGTATATGTGGCGAGGGGAAAACGACAGTGTTTGAGAGAGCATGTCTTAGAGACAGAAAGCAAGTGTGTGGTGGTGGGGGGAACAGGATATATGTGTAAGGAAAAGTGACTGTGTGTAAGAGAGAATGTGTGAGTGTGTGAAAGAGAAGGTGGGTGAAAACGAGTGTGTGTGAGCGAGAAGGTGTACGTGCCAGAGAGAATAAGAGAGAGAGAGAGAAAGCGAGCGTTTGCATATTTTTCTTGTCTGTGAGAGAGAAAGAGACAGTATATGTATACATGAGACAGAGAGAAAATGTGTGAGAGAGAGAGAGAGAGTGCTAGAGCGTATGAAAGAGAGAATATGTGTGAGGAAAAGAGAGAGTGTTTTTGAAGGGAGGGCGAAAGAAAGTGGCACTCTCTCTCTCCCCCCTCTTTCTCCCTCTCTCTCTATGTCTCTTTCTCTTTCTTTCTCTCTCGCTCTTTATGTCTGTATGTATCAGTGTAAGTGTGAGTGTTTATGCACATGGGTGCGTGAAAGGCAGTATATGTGTGTTAATATGCTTAAGTGTGTCCGTGTGCATGTTACATGTGCGTGTGAGAATAACTGTGTACGTTCCAGTACGTAACATTTTGTATAAGAGTGTGTACGCCGTGAATATACGTATGAGTTACAGTGCGTGGGTGTATAAGTTGGTACGCCCGTTAACATATGAATATGTGTATGAGTGTGTGCGTACGCCTGTGAGGGAAAGAGAGAAAGGGCGTGTGTGAGAGAGAATGTTTCGAATATGTAGGGGTTAGTCGAGATAAAATTTGTGCGCGCGCGCATGTGTGTGTGTGTGTGTGTGTGTGTGTGTGTGTGTGTGTGTGTGTGTGACAGTACAAGTTCGCGTGAGAGAGAGACTAGGGGAGAGAGAGAAAAAGAAAAAAAACACGTGTGTGTTAATGTCTGTACGTGGGTATGTATGTGTGAGATAAAATGTGTAAGTGAGTATGGAGGGTTGCGTGCTCATGAGAGTATGTATGAGAGTGCGTGTATGTATAAGACGGTGTGTAGGAGTATGAATGAATATCTATGTGAGCTTATGTGTGTGTGTGCGTATTAATGCGTAACCCGTCATTTACCAATAATTATTGATTAAGTTTTATCTCCCAACGTTCTATTAAAATGATTAGAGCAACGCCCTTCTCCTCGCTCAATTAAAACATGCATTAAGGTTAAGGCGATCGATATGAACCATAGAGCAGGATGTTTGCAAGAACGGGCTGAGATTAGACAGAGGTGTGGATTGGGGGACTCTGTTGCCAGCTAGGGATGCTTTCCGTAAAAAAAAAAAACATTTCTTTTTTTTCTTCTTTTTTTTCTTCTTTTTTTTCTTCTTTTTCTTCTTCTTTTTTTTCTTCTTTTTTTTTTCTTTTCTTTT